GCTGTTCAGGAAGACGATGCGAGCGTAATAAACTAGAAAGAAGTAGTAGCTTAGGTTTGTACGGGCTGGGGGACACTCTAAGAGGTTGCAGGAGTTACAGAGTCTGTATTGGGGTTGTGATTTTATACTTGGTCTGGCCCCTGCTGTAAAGGCGTTTTTGTGCAGCTGACGGTGTAAAAGAATTAGATTCAATTTTAACTGTCCGAGCCATGGTGATTCGAGGCCTAGGATTTGACAGCGGGGGCGGTAAGAAGGGGTTGGACGGAAGTAACAGGTTTTCATGAACGAGCGTTAGGCAATTTCAGTTGCGAGCCTACAACTTTGGGTGTAAAAGGAGAAGAGTGCTTCCGGAAGGTAACAGGTGCGCAGTATTAAAAAACTGATCCTTCCTGCTCTGGCAACCTGAAACTGCATCCAGTGAGAAAAGCCAAGGTGCAGGAGTATCTTAGGTTGGAAGCTTCACCTCCGTGAAACAAATGATAGGATTTCCATTAATTATGAAAGCGTCAGCTGAGAGGTAGCAGTAGCAGGAAGTTATGCGGGATTTTGTGGAGGAGCGCTTAGGCCAGAGTTGTTTGACCGGCGACTCAGTGCACTTAAGCCTCGCTTAATCTGGTGACAGGCAAGGGCTTGTGCAGAGAGGGAATGTGTACGCGATTTTTATATCGTCCGCGAAGAGGAAAGCCTTACCGTGGTATATGGCGCCGAAGACGTCATTGATGTATAGTAAGAAAGGGATGGGGCCCGGCACGCTTCCTCGAATGACTCCGCTAGTGATCGGCAGTGGAGGTGATTGTACGTCCCCAATTCGTGTTACTTGTGTCCTGTCAGATAGTTAGGAGGCGAACCACTGAAACAAGGTTCCATTGATGCCGACGGTACTGAGTTTGTGTATCAGAGAGGCATGGGGGACCTGGCAAAAGTCTTTTGAATGTCCAGGTAGACTGTTACAATGGAGTATCCAGCGTCGTAGGCTGTTGTGACGATCTGGAAGAAATGAAGTTGGCAGCCAGTAACGGATATCTGAGATAGGAATTCGTACTGTAGGTCATCTGTGGCGTTTGTTGTTAGGAGAAACCCGATTAACGGGCCTTTGACCAGACGTCCAAGGACTCGCATTTAAAGGGGGATCCTTCTGTAACTGGAAGTAGTCTGCCTGGATCCGGGTTTTAAATGGGGGCGAACAACAGATTGTTATCCCTGAGAGGGGGCAATTCCAGAGTTGACTGAGTAATTGAAAAGATATAGGACTGGTGTTTTGACATCTTGACCGCCATGTCTCAGGACATATGAAGGCATGCCATCGCCACCCGGTTCGACCGAGTCCTCGAGGGTTTGAAGAGGAGCTAAAACATCCGTTAGGTTGATGAACACGTTGCTGAGAGGCGGTCGGTTAACCTGTTGTGGAGATGCATTATGTGCGGCAGAGATTGGAGGATTCAACTTGGCAGGAATAGGTAAGTAGCAGCTGACAAAGTAAGCGTTCAAGTGGTCGGCTATATTGACAGGATCAGTGATAAAACTACCGTCGTTGGGGCGGAGACAAGCGTCTTGCTGACAATCTGGGGTGCAGCACCCACGAAATAATCGACCGAGCAATTTACAGCTAATAATAATAATGTTCATTCCCAACTGGTGGGTGGCATGCCGTCTGGCATGATCATGCGTTTACAGCCAGAACGGGGCGTGACTGGGGGAGTTGCAGGTNTACGTCCCCAATTCGTGTTACTTGTGTCCTGTCAGATAGTTAGGAGGCGAACCACTGAAACAAGGTTCCATTGATGCCGACGGTACTGAGTTTGTGTATCAGAGAGGCATGGGGGACCTGGCAAAAGTCTTTTGAATGTCCAGGTAGACTGTTACAATGGAGTATCCAGCGTCGTAGGCTGTTGTGACGATCTGGAAGAAATGAAGTTGGCAGCCAGTAACGGATATCTGAGATAGGAATTCGTACTGTAGGTCATCTGTGGCGTTTGTTGTTAGGAGAAACCCGATTAACGGGCCTTTGACCAGACGTCCAAGGACTCGCATTTAAAGGGGGATCCTTCTGTAACTGGAAGTAGTCTGCCTGGATCCGGGTTTTAAATGAGGGCGAACAACAGATTGTTATCCCTGAGAGGGGGCAATTCCAGAGTTGACTGAGTAATTGAAAAGATATAGGACTGGTGTTTTGACATCTTGACCGCCATGTCTCAGGACATATGAAGGCATGCCATCGCCACCCGGTTCGACCGAGTCCTCGAGGGTTTGAAGAGGAGCTAAAACATCCGTTAGGTTGATGAACACGTTGCTGAGAGGCGGTTGGTTGCCCTGTTGTGGAGATGCATTATGTGCGGCAGAGATTGGAGGATTTAACTTGGCAGGAATAGGAAAGTAGCAGCTGACAAAGTAAGCGTTCAAGTGGTCGGCTATAATGACAGGATCAGTGATAAAACTACCGTCGTTGGGGCGGAGACAAGCGTCTTGCTGACAATCTGGGGTGCAGCACCCACGAAATAATCGACCGAGCAATTTACAGCTAATAATAATAATGTTCATTCCCAACTGGTGGGTGGCATGCCGTCTGGCATGATCATGCGTTTACAGCCAGAACGGGGCGTGACTGGGGGAGTTGCAGGTAGTGGGGATTTCGCGAAAAGTGGACAATGTCATGAACAGTGGGAAGTATTTGATGAAGTAATAATAACGGTTTGCTTTCGCAACTTGTAGGGAACAATGGGCATGAGGTTCGACTAACTCAAAGACTCAGTCGGCTGACATGAGTGGCCTTGGGTGGTTGGGTAAATGACCGGAGTCACACTGAGCAAAAGTGGAGGTGGAGACGGGATAATTCGAATTGAGAGAACATTGTAAGTTTAGTCTCAAAAATATGGTGCAATCTGAGAACAAGCAGACTCACTCGTTGCACTGTTGTAGGGAATTCAGTTGCAGGGGCTAGGTTGGGTGGAAACACAGAGGTGGTTGAATTCGAACGAGTAGTCCATCAGGTTGGACTGAATGTCATGGTGGTAGTTGGGGTCAATGAAACGAGTAGGCAAGAGGACTCAGTTGGGAGGAGGAATGGAACAGTTGCGGGTGTGCTATCAAGATTCGCAAGACATGGTGAATTTGAGGGGACATAAAATGAGATAATAAGTAATATTATACACAAAAAGAAGAAATTGACGTCTGCTGCAATCGGGTGATGACAAGTGATTATATGGAGTAGGAAATAGATAAAATTTGTACTTAGCAGGCTAGCGACAAGGGGTTGAGTTTGCTAACATACACTAGTAAAAGTCAATAGAAGGGTCTCTGAGAGTGGTGCCCTTTTCTCGGCATTCGAGGGATATTTTCAAAGACGCTCGGTCAGCTGAGAGCTTGTTGA